CCCGCCGAGCCGGCCGCCAGCGGCAGCAGCGGCGGCGCGGCGGTGCCGGCCGCGCCCGCGGACAGCGCGACGGCGCGGTTCATGCCGTTTTACCGTTTCTGGGCGACGCCGTACGACAGGCAGGCGAACGACGAGCTGCTGCTGTCGCTGGGCTGGCCCCAGTGAGGGGCGAGGACGTTCGGCTTGAATTTCAATTGTGCGCATGCGCCTGCACGCAGCAAATCCCTGCGGTCGTGCCGCATGCCGTATGCCGCGTGCGGCGGGGCCGCGGCGCGCTGCCGGGCCCCCCGCTCGCTCAGTGCGTGGTGTGGCAATCCATGGCTGTTGCCCGCGCGGCGCAGCAGTATCCATAACATACATTGCCCTGTGGAAAACTTGAGAAAACTTGGTTTGCGGCGGGCCTGCCGGCGCCTGTGGGCTGCGGCAACCTTTCGTTTTGTTTCTGAACACGGGGGCTGGCTGCTTGCCCGGGTGGGCCTACAGTAGCCAAGATTTGATGGGTAGCCTGTTCCAATACGCACCCCTCCTGCTTTGGCATGATGCGCGTCCTGTTTCGTCTCGCGTTCCCCTCTGTTTTCCTGTTGGCACGGGTGTGTGCTCAAGCGCCGGTCCATGCGCAAGCGCTCCCGACACGCCAGTTGCTGTGCTACCCCTTGACCTGTTGCTGTCTGCTTCTTGAATCCTGTTGAATACACTTGTGAGCGCGTTGTGAATTGGCTTGTGCAGGTTGCGCACACGCACGTCTGCACGTTCAGGTGGCCACCCATTATGTCGGGCAGGCCCCACAGCAGACGCCAAGCGCCTGGGTGGTCGCTCTGAGCAGACTGCCTCGCAACCGTCATTGACCCTGAGCATGCGCGCATCGATCGATCGAAAACATGCCTGGGCCGCGTCTCGACTTACCCTTTAAGGATTGTATCGTACCTTGGTGACTGGGGCGTCCTAAACAGTGCCACTGACGTTCTCGTTGCCCAGTTTCATTATCATGGCGATTCAAGGGGGTTACCTGCAACGGAGCCACTGATTGCTTGCTCCTTTTGGTTCGCAACGGATGCGCAGAAGGCGTGCCGGCAGCACGAGGGGCGCTGCGCCCCGCTGCCCTGTAACCTGAGCTTGCAACTGCTCTGCCTTCGTCTGTCTAGGGGAAATGTACGGCGAGTGCGGGGCATCACCCGCACTGGCAACTGCCTTGTGCCCCAACTGGCGTCATCCCTGCTGTGGGGGGTGAACATGTGTGACACAGCTCGGGCAGCAGGTTGTGAGGCCTGTTTGAGCAACCCAGGAAGGAATGTGTGCCAGTTTGCATGGTGTGAAACTCTTACCTACCCGGCAGTAGGCCCGTGACATCGCAGGCAGATGAGACGTTGATTCCAGCCGCCCCCATCCCTGCACTATTCACTCTTGCGCCCCACATGCACCCTGCTCAACGTGCTTCACTCTCGTGCCACCAATGAGTGGATGTAGTTGGCTACTGAATATCGCGCCTGTGCACGTATCGCTTCGCGAGTGCTCTTGTTCCTAAGGTAGAGTTTCTCAGTGAGCACGTGAACACCCACGCCACATTGCCAGCAGCCGCGCTAACTACCTTGATCGGCTCCTAAGCAGAGGAGCACAGCTTAGATTGCACGGCGTAGCACCCGCAGATCACGAGCATGGCGCAGAAGAAGTCCGCGCTGACTGCAGCCCTTTCGGGGGCTCCCGCGGCCCCTGTGCCGGCAGCCAAGCCGCCTAGCGCCTTCAGGCCGGTGCTGGACAACTATGCCTTCCCGTGCCTGCAGCACGCTCCTGACGATGGCACGCCCGTTCCAGACCTCAGCGAGCTCGTGGATGGCCTGGAGAGCATTGATTTGAAGTCATATACCGTTGTGGGCTCGGCGCCCACCCGCACGTCGCTTCCCAATGGCACGCCACTGGTGAGCAACTGGTCGATCTAACAGGGTTTGCCCCGTGCTTGCCGTGCGCTGCGCGAACGCCAGCCAAACTGCGCTGCGGCGTCGCAGGCGGACTTTCCATTGGATCCTTACCACAGGCGCGGTGGGAAAGAGGTGGCGAGCTTCTCCATTGGGACGGTGAGCGCTGCACCGCACCGCACCGCAGCGACGCTACGCGCGTCTCCGCTGCGGCTTGGACGTACATTTGCGTGTGATGTTGTTTCATACTGCCCAATGATGTGGCATACAAGGTGGCACAGTTCGATGGCCCTGATTGCAGATAGGGTTTCAAACTGCATTGACCATTCAAGAAGCACCGCCAGTCAAGGCTGTCAGCATCAGTAAGCAAACAAATCCGGCGCCACAGGCCCAGCGGCCGTCCGACATGGCGGTAGCGCAGCAACACAGCCACCAGCAGGTTGCATCAAAGCTCACGGGCACGATTCTTCTTGCCCTTGCGCCACCCCTCTTGGCCCCCCCTTGATTGTCAGGACAAGGCCTCCTTCTCGCGTGTCGCATCTGGCAGCCTGGCCCAGAACTATGACGCTGTTATCGGCTCCCTGCCCAAGGGTCTCAGCGAAGATCAGCGCGCGCGCATTGCGGCGTCCATGCCCATGTCGCCGGCACTGGGCATGCTGCACACCATGCCCGAGGTGGGCCAGCAGACGCGCACATGCGCGCCATGCGCATGCAATTGCACGTGGGCGATGCATGCATGGGCGCATGCATCTGGGTGCGGGCGACGACATGGAGGCGGCACTGCGGCAGCGGCATCGGCCGGGCTGCCGCCTGGATGCGTGAGCGGGCGCTGCGATTTCTCAGCGCGGCGAGGCTGGGCTAGGCCTGGCTGGGCCACGAGCAGCAGCGATGGAGCTTGCAAAGGGCGGCTGCGGCGCACGAAGGTAATCCGTCGTCATGGCCGCGCCTGCGCGCGACCTGCAGCCGTCTCTGCTCTGCGCCCCCCGCTCAGGACAAGGTCAGCTTGCGCACGATTGAGGGCCGGCGGCTGCGGCGCAGCGTGCTCAAGGGCGCCGTGGTCGCATTCATCACCGCGGGTGAGCTAGGAGCAGATAGCCGTGTGTGAATCGCGGCGGCGGAGCGACCTGCTGGAGGTGTGTGACGCATGGGAACCCTTCTCCCCACCCAGCTTGGCACTCCAGCCGCGTGCACAGCCGCTAGCTCCTAGGGGACGGTGCTTGCCCTCCCTGCGCATGCTGTTTGACGCATTCGTTCCCCCCTTTCGTGCAGGCTACAGCGGCAAGCGCTTTGTCTTCGAGAAGGCCGCGGAGTTGGGGGTCAAGTGCGTCGTGCTGGACGCGCCGGACTCGTGGGCGCAGCTGATGGAGGGGGAGGGCGTCATCTCAAAGTTCGTGCCCATCGACTTCAGCGACGCTGAGAACGTGTTTGACCACTGCCTCGAGGTGGGGCGTGGTGGAGCATGACGTGGGCGCGGCCGCAGAGCTGCAGCTCGCCAGCCTACGTGGGCTGGGTCAAACACGGCAACGAGCACGGATGATGGGTTCCTGCGCGTTTTTTTGAGTCTGCATGTACGCATGCCACTGCACCCCGCCGTCAGCCAGCGCGTTGCTCGACAAGCCTCGATTCATGAACGCCATGACTCGCTCGCCTGCACCGCGCCCCGCCGCTTTTGCCGCTGGCCCTGACGGGTGACCCCAGGGCATCAAGGCGGCGTCCGCAGATCTGGGTGGCCTCGACGGCATCACCACATTCTGCGAGATGGCGGTGCCGCTGGTGGCGCGGCTGGCGGAGAAGCTCGGGGTGCCCAGCAACTCGCCGGACGCCGTCGACGCCGCGCGGGACAAAGTGTGTACTGCGCGTGCGTGTGTGCGCCTGTGCACACGCGTGTATGTGTGTGTGTATGTCCGTATGTGTCTTGTGAATGTGTTTTTGGGTGCGTGGGTGTTGATCCAAGGTGTGTTGAGGTTACAAGGGGGTCGTTGGGCACTGCTGCACCTCATGATTCGCTTTCAGGAGGTTGGTGAGGCAGCCCCCCCTGGCCTGTTTTGGAGCAAGCCCACCCCGCGTGCTCTGTGCACCCCCGCCCTTGCGCACATGCGCACCCCGACGCCGCGCAGTACCTGACGCGCGCGGCGATGGCCGCGGCGGGGCTGCCCACGCCCCGCAACGCGCGCGTGAACTGCCTGGAGGACGTGGAGCCGGCCGGCAACCACGTGGGGTTCCCCGCGGTCATCAAGCCCGTGTCGGGTGAGTCAAGACGGAGGCCCCGACACCCGTGATAGGAGCCCCCTTGGAGCTCGGTGTGTGTGGTGGTGTGTGGGGGAATACACGGGTGGATTGGTGCATCGTAGTTGGCTGCAGGGCCGCAGACTCCTGCCAGAAGCAGCCCCGAGGGGGGGGGGCGCACCTGCCAAGTGCTCGTTGCCGCCCGCACTCCTTCCCCCCAGGCGCGGCCTCCATCGGCGTGATCCGCGTGAACAGCATGGAGGACCTCCACGCCGCCTACAAGCGCGTTGTGCGGGACATGTCGCGCGCGAGGGTGGTGGCGGGTGCGCTGGTGGAGGGCAAGGACGGGGAAGAGGAGGGCGCAGGCAGCGGCAACGCGGGCAGCTGGATCAAGGTGGAGCTGATGCTTGAGGAGGTGAGGGGCTGGGCGATGGTGGAGGCTGGAGGTGGAGGGCGGGGCGGAGGTTGAGGAGTCTGGTTTTAAGGATGGGGGTGCAGTGCGCAGGTGGACAGGGGTCTTGAGGCTGAAGGTCGATCTTGTGCTGGAGGAGGTGGAGGGCTGGGTGTTGGGTGGCTGACGGTAGAGGGAGTTTGCTGCGTTGATGCAAGGGGCCTAAGGCAGCGTGAGCGGGGCGGAGGGACGAGCACGTTCCCCACGCCCAGGGCCATTAGCTGAGAGCCGGGTGAGCAAACCAGAGCTGAGGCTGGGCGGGCAGCAGGCAGACGGCAGCGGTGTGGCCGAGGGCTCCCGCAGCCTGCCGTCGCCACCCTGGGTGCGTGCTGCGGCCGCGCACGTACGGCGTGGTACTTACATGCCGCTCAGGGCCACGCCGGCCGCCTGAATGGACCGCAGCGCGCTGACGCACAGCCGCTGCGTCCCTTCACTGGGCTGCCTGCCTACCGTATCCACAATCCCTTTCCAGTACCTGGATGGCCCTGAGATTGACTGCGATCTGGTGATGAGCGACGGCGTCCCGGTGTATGGCGCCATCACGGACAACTGGCCCACAGTTGGTGAGCGGCTGTGCGGAGCAGGTGCCAGGAGGCTGCTCGAGCTCGCGGCGGCGCCGCTGCCGGCTGCCGGCCCTCGCACGGCTTGGGGTTCTGTCCTGCGGCGCGGCCCCGTTGAGCAGTGTGCATAGCACAGCCGAGCGACCGAGCCCCCATCCACATTGTGCTTTATTGCCCATGGCCCTCATGTCGCACCTTCGCCTCCCCAAACCCCTCCGATCACAACCCCCCCCCTCCAGAGCCGTACTTCAATGAGACGGGCTCCAACTGCCCCTCCATCCTGCCGCGGAAGCAGCAGAAGGAGCTGCTGGAGCTCTCCGTGAAGAGCGTGCAGGTGTGGCCGCGCTGTGGGGGTTGCCGGCGCGGTGCGCCGAGGCGGGGAAGACGCCTTGCGTGACGGCAGCGAGGCCTTCAGGAGCCGCCAGGGGACTCCTGGCGCGCTTTTGTCAGGGGCGTGAAAGCCGCAGCTCCAGCCCCTCTGATCCTTGCCGGAAAGGGGGGTGTACGGCGGCCCAGCAGCAGGCGGAGGCGATGCACCGCCACCTCCAGGCTCCTTCCCCCCTGTACAGGATTCTTTGGCCCGGAACCCGGACTAATCACCGGCCTCACTACTGCACCACCTCCTTGCTTTCCGCTCGTCGCTCGTACCCCACACCCTGTCCTCTCTGTCGCCCCCAAACCCCCTGCCGCCCCCGTGGCACAGTGCATGGGCTTAAAGCTGGGCGTGTTCCACGTGGAGGCCAAGTACACCAGCCGGGGGGCGCGGCTCATAGAGGTCAACTGCCGCATGGGGGGAGGGCCCGTCAGGTGGGCGCGGCCCGCGCGCGCGGGGGGAGGTGGGGGTGGATGGGTGGGTGCTCGGGTGTGGGTCCGGCGCACAGGCTGCTCCAACGGGTTGACATGTGGGGAGGGGGCCGGGGTGTTTGGAGAGGTGCAGAGCTGACATCTACAGCGTGCAGGCCGCAGTTGGTTGTGGATGCGCGAAAGCAGCAGGGGGCCAAATTGCAAGGTGGTTGCTGCGGTTTTGGGGTTCAAAACTGGCCTCGGTGAGGCCTGCACTCCATTCGCGATCACGTGCACAAAACCCCCCAAACCACGCGCTCCCATGCACACAATTGAGCGTGCAACCCTGCATGTGTGCGCGCCCACATGCACACAAAATACCACGTACAAAGCCACACACGCGCATGCACACGCGCACACACACGCACACACATGCATACACGCGCACGCACACACACACACACACACACACACACACACACACACACACACACACACACACACACACACGCGCGCACGCGCTGCAACCATCACCCCCCTCCCCCACCCCCAAGGGACACCAACCTGCTGGTGTGGGGCGTCGACCTGGTGGAGGAGCACCTGATGACGTCGGTCGGCATCCCCGCGCGCCCCCCGGTGGCCAAGCGGCCGCTGGTGCAGATGGCCGAGTACTCCATCAACGCCAAGAAGTCCGGCGTCATCCGGGACTTCGGCTTCCTGGAGCCGTGGGCCAACCACCCGGACGTGCTCTACGCACGGCCGCTCGTGCCGGTGAGGGGGCGGCCGGCGCGTCTCGCCCGCGTCCCGCGCGCACGCGCGTCTTCCCGTGCGAAACGGGGCTGCTGGCGCGCCCGACAACGCCCCCCTGTTCGAGTGGCGGAGGGGCGCCGCGGCGTCCTCCCCTCCGGCCGCCTGACGCATCTCTCTGGTCGTGCGGACTCATCCCCCTCCTCCCTTGGCCCTAGGCCGGCAGCAAGGTGGTGTGCGTGGAGGACGGCCTGCCCACCTGGATCTGCGAGATCATGGTGCGTCGCCACGCGGCCCCACACCGCCCCGCGCCGCCGCTCCCGGGCTCGACGGACATCAAAAGAGTGCCCCTCACCCCGGCTTGTGCCGGCTTGGCAGTGCCTGGGACCGTGGCGCGCGAAGCTTGTTGTGTCGCCCGCTTGAGGGCCACAGAAGAGTGCATTTCAGCCTGCCCGCTGACGGCCGCTTTTCACCGCTGCCCCCAACGCGTCTCTCCCCCCATCAGGTGGTCAAGCCCACCGTGCAGGAGGCCATCGACTTCATCCAGAAAGTGGAGGCCTCCCTGGACGTCCCCATCGACCCCCTGCCTGCAAAGGCCAAGTGACAGGCACTGCGTGGCGCGGCGGTGTGCTGCTCGGCGGCCCCTCCCCAACTCGCCAGCCGCGGCCGGCCGGGGGGAGCTGTTCTGCCCAGCGGGGCCAGCGCCGCGGCGCGGCCCAAGTGCGCCGGGCGTTCATGCCATCCAGCCCAACGCCGGCGGTTGCGGCGGCGGTGGCGGCGGTGGCGGCGAGGGCTGCAAGGAGCCCGCGCATGACGGAGAGGGGTGCTCGGGCATGACGCGCATCGCTCGCCTATGAGATAGCGATGGGTGCAGCGCAGCAGAGATGGAGGCCCACCCACAGCGAGACCCAGCAGTGGGGCTGCAATGGCTGCGAGATGCGATGTCGGGCGGCAGGTGGCGCCTCTTTCCGTCATAGGGGTGTGCAGGTCTTGTGTCCCTGAAGTGGGCCGTGCCACGTGCTTGCCGGTGCTCTCGTGTGTCACGTGTGCTGAGCTCTTACACGTCACCGCACGCAGCCTTCAACTCTCTCTACATTCTAATCTCAAGCCGCCCAGCAGCCGTGGCATGCGCCGCGGCCCCTGTACATCCACGTAGATGCTTCAATGGGTTATTTGATTGCAAACATGGCTTATTTCTCAAGCCCAGGCGGTATCCTGGAACAGCCCAACCCATTGCGCGCAGCTGACACGGCTCGCGCCTGCGCTCCAGGCTCGGCTGCGGCCCTCTCCCCGCACTGCTGTGGCTGCAGCTGACCGGCACGTCTGGCATGCTGCGCATGCACGGCACGGATTTGTTTGGGGCGCACGTGCGTCACCCCGTGCTGAACGCGAGCACGCACCGCACGGCCCCTCAGGCGCAACCCACCCTGCCGTGGCGCGGCACCAGGAGCGTCCATGTAATTTAACCCCTCAAAGCCCTGCAGTGCTCGTCCGGCTGACGTGGCTTGCATGCTGGGGTCCTGGCTGGGTGAGGTTGACGACCGCTGGTGGTGCATGCGTTGATGTAGTTGATTGCTGCTGGTGGTGGTATTGGTGGTGAGGCGACGGTGGAGATGGTGGACAGCTGCCTTTTCGAAATCAAGCATCTTTCATCAGCTTCCAGGCTGCCGCGTGGCTGCTGCAAGGTCAAAGCAATGGCGTCCCGCTCCTATCACAACAATCTTGCTGTCGCTCAGGGCTCCCATGCTGCCGCCTGTTGCTATGATATCAGGCTGAGTTGCATGTCGGTGTTGCCTCCACTGCCACGCAGCACGTTTGGACTATCCATGCAAGAGGTGCCAATTTCATCAACACTAACATGGTGATGCGCTCGCCTCCTGGCTGGAGGGCTGCACTCTGTGGTCTTACCCCAGTAATTGCAGATTGAATTGGAGGTCTGGAGGGCTTAGTATGGGTCAACCACCACGCCTCCTGGGCAACAGACTGAACATCGCTCCATAACCAGCGGTTGAGCATTCACTTGGGCATACCTTGATGCAGCCACTAATCTTGCTTTCTGATGCGACAGCTATGGCTTGCCTTGCGCCAAGCCCCCTCGTGCTGCAGTGCACAGCACACACCTGCTGGGCAGCCGTTTCTCGCGGCTGAGTCCTTTCACCCACCTCAAATCAGCAATGTCCACCACCCGCGCGGAACCTGACAATATATGATTCGTAACAATCTAATCCAGCACGATGGAGCCTTGAGTTTTGCGAGCTTGCACAGGATCTGAAGGACAGATCTGAGTCGCAAGGCGCCATGGATCTAGCTTCTCTTTGGAACTTTGTGCAGGGGCTTACGCCAGGCGCAGCGCTGGCCCCTGCCGAGGTGCAAATCGCTCTGGCGCCCTTCGCCGACAGGCTGGTGCACCTGCTGAAATTTAAGGTGTGATTATACGTTATAATGAGTGTACTTGTTGTGCCACGGTGAACTGCAGTCGGGATCGCCAGATCAAGTGTCATTGAAGGCAGGAGAACCTCCTGTGTCCCCCTGATCGTATGAATGGATCTTTGGGAGGGTAGTGCATGGTAAACCAGCGGTGTGCCGCCACATAGCTGCCCTTTGCCGCCCGCCGCCCGCCGCCCACGACCACCGCCGTCGCTTCGCCATGCGCCCCACCAGGGCCCTAGCGAGGAGGGCTGGCGGCAGGTGCAGTCAGGCCGCGTGGTCACCCCGCTGTATGGGGAGGTGCTGCTGGACCCGGAGCCGGACCAGAAGTTGGTGCGTGCTGGCCATCCCCGTTGACGCCGTGAGGGAAGGGAAGGAGCAGTGGCTGTCACCCCTTGTCGTCTGCCCAGCGAGCGGTGCCCGTTCAATGGCAGGGGCCAATGGGATTATGCGCCGCTGGCGCTCGACCCACTTGCGCTGGCGCGGGCCGCCCCTCACCGTCGCTGGCAAGGCGCTTCCCAACGCGTGCCGCCATGGGGTCCCTCAGCAGGCAGCTGGTTTGCGGCCTCGGCCCCCACACACCGTGTGCCTCAGGTTGCTGCATGCTGAGTGCATCCCGTGCGCGCCCATGCGTCTGTCCTCCCTGTAGGCGCTGCTGCTGTCACAGGAGCTAAAGCTTGATGAGGTGTACTGCGTGGAGCTCCTCACTGCAGCGCAGGAGGTGCGCAACACGCTATAATGCGGGTTCAGGCGGCTGGCACGCCCCACTCGGCAGCACAAGCCCTGGGGCCGGGGAGAGGGCGTGGAATACGAGCCGGGGCGGTACCTGCGGCACGTGGGTGCGCCGACCATGGGGTCATTGCAAACGCGAACACGCCGCCTGCCACGCCTCCAACTGCCTCGCAGCTGGGGGTGTACACAGCAGAGGCTGCCCTGGGCGTCTACCTGCGGGAGCGGCTCGCCGCCGCGCAGTCCCTGGCGCGCCTGCTGTCCCTGCAGCTCTTCAATGCCGCCGCCCTGGCGCCCGACGGCGGCGGCGCGGACGACGGTGCGGGGGACGCCGCGGCGGCCTCGGCGCCGCCGCTGCTGGCGGCGGTGGCGGCGTTCAACGCTGAGCTGCTCGGAGCCAAAGAGGCGGCGCCGGGCGGGCCTGCGGGGGCGCAGCGCAACGCGCTGATCGGATCCATCTTGGACGTCCTGCAGGTGCGGGGGCGGGGGTGATTGCTGCTGAATGACGAGCAGCTGTTGCCGCTCGTTCGGTTGGGTGGGGCGATGGCTAGTCGATTGGCCGGGAGTGGCAGCTGGCGGCGGCCGCCCAGGTCCTGGGCTGTCCCATCAGTCGTTTTACCAGAAAACAGCGGAGCCGGGGCGCTCGACGAGTGCGGGGCCTTGTGGCTGCCATGGGTGGCGTAACAAGGAATCGTTTTAGAACAATCAGAAACTTGGCGTTGGCTCGGGCTTGCGGTGCAGCTGACAGCGAAGCTGGCGGTGGCGGCTGCCCGACGGCCCCCGGCACGCCTCGCGGGCCACAAACACGCTGCACGCTTTCCTCTGCCGCCCCCGCAACCGACAGGACACGAGCCTGGAGGCGCCCGGCTCCGCGCTGCCCGTTGCACTAGACCCCCACACCAACGCGGCCGCCCCGCGCGGCGCGATGCTGCAGCTCGAGCGCACGGCCCTCGCGCGCGCGCTGCTGTACGCCGTGCTGCTCACGCCGCCGGGCGCGCTCGAGCCGGCGACGGTCTCGCAGCTGGTCAAACAGGTCAACGCCAGCCATGCGCGCGTCCGCGCAGCCGGGCCGCGCCCGCCGCACGCGCTGCAGCGGCAGGAGTACCTCGTGCTGCTTTCGGCCGTCGCGGCGCTCGCGCCGCCGCCGCGGCAGGAGGCGGTAGGGGCGATTGGTGGCAGCGGCGGCGGCGCGGCGGGGGCGCGGCGGCTGGCGGCGGACGCAGATCTGGCGGCGGCGATCGTGCCGCCGGCAACGGGTGCGCTGAGCTGGCGCGTGTCGCGGGGTGGCATTTGATGATGGCCAAGAACCGGCGTGGTTGATGGTGGTGGTGTTTATGATGCGCGTTTTGCTCTTTTCAAGCAGCTGAGGGGCGTGCTGTCCTCATCTAGGCGGCTGCCGAACGCATCGCGTCGCCGGTCCTCAACAACTTGAAACCCCCTGCTCCTCCACGCCGCCGCCGCCCTGTCCAACCCGGCCGCCGCCGCGGCCGCGACCGCAGGCACTTCCGCCCAGAGCGGCCCCCACGCGGCGCTGCTGCTCGCCTGGGGACTGCTGAAGGACGCCGCCGCCAGCCCCGGCAGCCCCCTCGCCGCCGCAAGCCCCGCGTCGCCCGGCGGCGCCGCCTTCGCCGCGGCCGCCGCGGGCCGCGGCGCGGGCGGCGCGGCGCAGCATCTGCTTGAGGAGGCGGGGAAGGGCGGCGCGCTGGGCACGCT